AGAGAGGGAGAGAGAGAGGGGGGGTTGGCAGGGTGCCATTGAAGATGGTAAGAAAAAAAGCGGTGCAGTCAGAAGAGTAACGACTCCCTCCCAAAATTGATTTATCTTTCTATAAATGATGGCTACATCCCCCCAAATGGATTTATAAATTAATTGCTGTCTTATTGGAATAAAAACCTTCTTGTGCGGACATGATTGATCGGCTTGTGTCGGTAGCCTGCACTGGGGACCCCCCTCCTCCTTTGTTAGTGGGTCCCAGCTGGAGCGGTAATGCACTGATGGTATTAACCCTGATTAATAACTAACAATACGCTATCCTCATACATCAACAGAGTGCCGTGGTTGACTGGGCATGGGACTGGCCAAGGCTGCTGCCAGCCTATCAGGGCATGAGTCAGGTCACCTTCAAAACTCTACTGGCCAACAGGTAAAACAGTTATTTCACTTGTTATACATGTTCATTGACAGTGGTGTGTACGTGCGCGCGCACATGCAAAAGCAAGTGTGAATTTCTTTTTGTGTTTTCATGTTTTTATTATGATCCTCACAGGTGTTTTTTGTTTTTGAGCAGTCTTTTCATGAAATAAAAGCCCCGCTCCGCAGAGGCATGAGCTGCATCAGTAGTGTCTTTACCTGTACAAAATGAGGCGTTCACTTGGGACTCCCGAGGCAAGTTTCCCTCCAACCCTAAATTCCCTTTTGACTTAAGTTTGGCATAAGCTTCAGTCATTGGGAATCATATAGCCTAGCTGCTCTTCATCAGAGGTTCAAACTTCCACTTTGTTCAAAGGCCATGGGCTCCTGTGGCTTCCACAATGGAGGCTAAACTGTGGAAAGAAATCCTTGGGAAAGGATACTGGAGTGCTATAATATGCTGTGTGTGTTGGATCATGGAATTCTGTGTTTGTTAATGCACACGCACAGTTGTGGCTGACTGTCTGCGTGGACAAATGTTTGCAGATTTTGGTAACTGAGGTATGCCTGCTCTTGTGTACTTTTGAGGCCTTGAAACAACCAGAAAGGTAGTTAGAGATGGAAAAAGAGTGGCTATCTCAGATTTTGTTGTCAACTGATTGAAGAGTTTTTCACCAAGTCCACCACTCCTGTCCCATCCTCCTCCGCCCCCCCTCCTCTCTTGTTCTGCTCTGCAACGGGCATAAATATTTATGCAGGTATGTGACACATATTAGATGGCAATACTTCAGGCGGTTCCCTGTTCTCCATTCACAGCTGTCACGCTGCCAGCTATCAGGGAGCCATGGGGCTACTGCACCTTGTCTCCACGCCTACGCCCAATCCATTCTAAATCACCGCCATTGTAACACACACACACCTTTCTAACAAAGGGCAAGCTCTGCATCTGCCAAGGACACAGGTCTAATAAGGGTGAAGTACGCAGCTCTGTGCTGTGCTGTGACGAGCTTTGTCGCCTTCATGCCTCTACCCCCTCCTTCCACACACACATACACACACTCCATTCTTCCTCCCCTTATATGCTGCTTTGTTGCATCTTAAAACAGATACTGTCATTGCTTGACTGAGCCAAATTAGTGTTGGAGCATTCATAAATAGAAACTGAATGAAGTGGATATGAAGTCAGATAGAAGGAGAGAGAGAGAAAAGAGAGATTGGACTTGCGGTTTGAAATTGTGAGTGACATGGAGAGAAAGAAGAGTCAATACTGACAAGGCACCAAAATGTATGAGGAAGGATGGGAGTGGTAGGGGGGAAAAGGTTATATAATTCACCCTAATCTCACAGTATCAAAGTGTCTGAGATTCTGCCATTTGCCTCATTAGCCTCTCTTTGTTGGGCCAGAGGAGCAGATTTCATGGAGGATTTGGAGAATGGCTTTGGTTCTGCCTGAGACGCTAGCACAGAGCAGGAAGTTAGTTTCACGGCTGGCGACATGTAAGCTGTCAAAGTTTTCCTCAGATCCATCTCCGACTCAAAAATATCTCTCAAGCTATAGAAGTCCATTCACGGGATAAGCGCACTGATGTTGGATCCACTGATCCATTTGTTCGTGCAGATAAGGATAATACTTTCTGCATAACTGCAGACTGAAGTGCCCTCGGCTGTTTTCACTGAGGATTCACAACAATTACTCTTTTACTACCTCCAGTTGTTGGACAAGCCACAGGATATTATCTTACACTTGACAATATTAATAGTAATGACACTGTCTCAAACTCTACAGAAAACACCTATGAGTGTGACCTTGTAATGTTCTGTATTTTCTATCTAAGTTTTTGTCTCCTTGAATGACTTCCCTTCCCAGTACACAGCCAATATTTTTTTTCACTCCCGGACTGTGTGAGTTAGCAGTGTGGCCCATTGGCCTCCTATATATTGTTACAGTGGCAGGACAGTTATTGTGCCCAGGGTTTATATCACATTCTAATGGAGCAAGGCTATGAGTTAAGGGCGGTAGGCTTTTACACCAGGGCTGTTAAATCACTGTTCAGATGACTTCATTAGCAGAGCAGGACACATGCTGAGACACTTGTGCCTGCACACACATAAATACACACACACATACGCTTTCACCCTGCTACCTTGACGGTGTAACATCGGGGCCAGACAGGAGGGAGAGTGGATTTATACAGGTGTGTGTGTCCTTCTTTGTCACCTGTCACTTCAGTTCCCTCAGCACGATAGCTCATCCATCATCTGCAGATTGAGCTTTTCAGCAGAAACCAGACTGATTAATACTACCCTAGGACCCCCAGGGTTGACTGGCTGACTGGCTGACCTGGCTTCCTGGCAGGCTGGAGGTTTGAATGGATAGATGGATGACTTGTGGGTGGGCTAACATTTTAGTCTACTTGTTCGCCAGCTGAATTGCTAGCTAACAGGTTGACTGGTTTGATAAGGTTCTGAATGGTTGGTGCGCTGGATGTAGGAAGCAGTGATTAGTGGAATAGTTTAGGTGGATTAATGACGGCTAAATGGTATTTTGACGGAATGGCTAGGAGGCTAACTAGCCTGTTGGTTTGTTGGCCTTTTTTGATAAATTCCGGTCTCAAAAATGAATTGATGTATAGATGATGGATTGACTGGCTCTGAGGATAACTGGTCGACAGTTTGCTAATGGCTAAAAGCCAGACTGAGGCTCCCAGCCTGGTTTTACTCACATTATCTCTGTCAATCTGTCATTGTATCTGCACAGTCTTTTATTACTTTTAAGAGAAAGACTTCTAAATAACATTCTTACTTAGCGCTTCCTGCCTACCTGCCTCTTACACATACTCATAAGCATATCTTAATTTCTTAATTATATCAACTTCCTAAGCTTAAATCATGTCAGTTAGCCTATACACTATGTAAGATACTTATGTATAGTTGAATGAAATAGGTATACTGCATAATCAAGGTTCATGGGCAAACCTTTATGATTTTTTATCAGCCATCCTTATAGGTATATTCACTCATTTCCTTTATTACGAGTCTCTAGCAGCTTTAAAGCAAGGTTCATTTGTTGAAATGCCAAAATCAATGACATTACATACCTAGGTTAAATATATACTTGATGTTTCACCTTAACAAATTGCACACTAAAGGTTTGTGTTTATTGTCATGATCTATGCATTGAAATGTGCCCAAATTCCCCCCTCTTTGACCTCAAGTTATGAGCTGCCGTTTGTTGTAGAGGCTTGGAGTCAAAGTACTTCAAAGTTATTCACCTGATACTGAATGGTTTCTCTTCAACTATTCTTTAATGAATGGATAACTCATTCTCTTTGTCCTTGGTCCCTCACTGAAATCCCCTTTACTTTAGTGAACAGCTCTGCCATAACATACTTTTATACGAAACAGTCAAAAGCAACACAACCCCTGTGTAGGTTGGAATTTATGGCTGCAGTGATGGCCTGTCTCTTTCTTATTTTAACTCTTTGTGTTATGAGGCCTTTATGAACTTCGGTCCATTGTGTCATTTTTCTTTTCCATCCAAGAAAAATAAAACAAATATCTGAAAAAAGTATGGAGTATGGCCACGGACTAAAGTCACATTTTAACTGTCATCTGCCAAGGTGACTTTTTGTGACACTTTCCTTGTGTCTGTATGTCAGAGAAGGTCTTCTGACCTGGTTGATAAGGGGTAGCCAAGTATGAGAGATGAAGCTTTGTGTGTCACAGGGCAGCTCCTCTACTCCATCATAAGGACCTAATATCATCCAAGGACAATCATGCTTACACTTGTCCATGGTCTGGGTACCGTTTACTAAAACCAACAGGAAGACTTCATACATTGGCCATCAGTAAATTCAAAGTTAGACACGTTGTAGCTTGTGCTAGTTTCACACCTTATATTCTGAGTAAGCACTTTACACCTTTACAATATTGACAGTAAGAGAGTACTAGCAGCATTGACCCACAGATTTGGTAGCTTAATATAGTAAGCTGCACTGTAACTACTGAACACTAAAGCATTTCCTCTGCATTGTTTTATTGTTGCCGTTACCCCTCAGGTCCATAACAATAGCAGTTTGTGGAAAAATGCCAGTCTGTGGCATTCTCTTGCTTGAGCAGCTCCTTAAATTGCGGCGATAGACGCTTGTGCTTTCAGGAAGTGGGCAATCGCCATCTGTTCCCGGGCTCTGCCATATGGCGGGCTTTTTTCTCAGGGAATAAAATAAAAACAAATATGTCAGAATGTTCGTCTTCCTCCACGGACGCTGATCAACCTGGGGAGAAGCTGGATCTCAGTGTGTCTGGATTAATGGTCTTACTTTGCGCTTCAGGGAATGAGGGAGTGTGTGTTTGTGGTTGGTGGGGCTTTGTGTATGTGTGTGTGTGTGTGTGTGTGTGTGTGTGTAAATGCATTTGCAGAAGGGTATGCACACGCTAATGCACATTTATGTACCTGGAAGTATTTCTGGAATCATTTATCTGACTTAAAGGGCGATGTTACCATACCATTTTGAGCAGTTGGTTGCCCTAGTCTTAGAAGCATTAAACAACACAGGAGAAAAGAGCTTCAAGGTTAGCCAGAGTGACATTTCATGGCTGCCGCTGCCAAAGAAACAAGAAGAAACGGTCTCAAGCCATCATCAGGCTCTCCGTCTTGCGAGGCCAGAAATTCAAAAGACTTGTCACTTTTGAAAATCAGGAGAGTGTGATGTGTCATTGAGGAAGGGCTTCTTTCTTCTCTCGTCGATCCCCTTGTGTGTGTCCCCTCCGCTGACTGACAGCTAGGGATGGGAGTTTGTGTTGGTGGAGACAGAATACATCTTTTGTCTGCTTGGTTATACATGGTGTGTTTTGTCTTCGCTACCCCTGGACAGCACTGACACATTGAGGTTTTCATTAGCCGTAACCAGGTGGCGGAGGAGAGGGACGAGCTACTTCGCATGAGTCTGTTTCCATGCCTGTCTGTGAGTGTACGCATCTGCACTGCACCAACTTGTATACTGTATGCATATC